GATTGAGTGTGGCACGTGTTATCTTGTAGGCACGTGACAAGACAATTGGTGAGCAGATGGAGGTACGGTCCATTGACAACGAGCACCCAGGAATCACAAAAATGACTAAGTCAAATAATTCGACGGTTCATCCTTTCTCTGGTACAGCTGATTTCGTTAATAGTTGTGGATAAAAAACGAAACCAAAACCACCTCGCACGTTAAATGGAAATGATATAATACTAAATGTATATCATTATCATGGCGATTTTCCGATTGGTGACATACCGGATTTTTAAACAAATTATTTATGTATCAAACTGCTCGTGGGCCAAGGACTTTGTTGGCTATGGAGTCCCTAAAACACACAAGTCACATAAACAATTTAAACAAAATACCATTAATATTGTAATAAACCCCACTAACTAGTTTTCGGTTTTTCCTGTATATTTTGCGTAGAGAAAAAAAGAGAGTGATTTCACATGTTTTGTTTAGTTACTCCTTTAAAGTTAGAGTTGTAACCAAAAAATACAAAGTATGATGTAATATGGCAGTGAACAAAAAATAAGTCAGGTTTTTAATTAGGGTTGAAATATATGTTTGTTGCGAGATAGAAAATAATGTCTTCCTCATCTGATGTTTCTTACTCAACCTCTGTATATATCACATAGAAAACATAAGCATTCAGCTCTACAACTCCATGTGTGGGTACTAGAAGCAGTACCTAAAAACGATTTAGTTGTATTGATATGTAGAACCAAAGGGCTCATCATAACGAAGAACGAGACCTTCAATGTTCTCAGTGGAAGCGGGCACAACAAAGAGCTCCAAAACGCCCTGATCCACAAACTTAAGAATACGGTTACGAGTGAGAAACCTTCGAACCAAATGGCTACTGTGACGAAACTAGGTTTAACTCCTGTTACCATAAAGAAGATAAAAAAAAAATTGCTGAACAAACTAGAATCACAACAGTCCCGTTACACCACAGGTCCGTTAAATTGCCCTGAGATGCTTTGTGAATATTTTTCATTATTAGCCGTGGTATAGCGGCTCATAGAACGGTTCTGAGTTTTTCAAGCACATACTTTTAGCTCCTAGCTCCGTTATCTCTTTATCGATTTGAGATCTAATCACAGTTTTGGACTCAAGAGGTCAAACCTTTTCGACTGATGTATTTGATCACGCCTAAAGTATCATAGATTAATTTACTCTAATCCTGCCTAAAAGAATTTCAGTTTGAGGGTAGGCTGGTAGAGATCCTGATGAGTAATATAATCGAATCGGGTAAACGCGCGCCCCACGCTTGGTATTGCTGGCGCACAAAAATATAGCTAATTAAAAGAATAAAAAGTTTTCATAGATTAATTTACTCTAATTCTGACTAAAATATTTTCAAATGCCGCGGCTATTGAGGATTCCCTCTTGTTTGCTTTTGATCTGCTTAAACCTGATTTTAGAAGAGGACGTCCACATAAAGATAATCGGTCTACTGGACCAAGCCGTCATAAGTAGTAGCTTCTTACAAGGGAAAACACGGCTTTGGAAAGCGATGAAGTAGTACAGGACTTGGAACATTCTTTGTTCCAAAGTGTGACTAACCCTCATGAACAGTCAAATACATAAAAATCTCTAGAGAAAATCCTTTAACACTTTAACAATATTTACTTATAACCAGTAACTTTACAAACATTTGAACAGTACTTACCCTGATAACCAGTGACTTTACAAATACTTCAACAGTACTTGCCTTACTTACTTACTACAATGTAGATGCAGTTAATATGGGTAAATTAACACCTATATTGTAATGAGGTAATTAGTAGTTGCTTAGAGAAATGCCCCCTTGCTTTCTAACATTAATATGGTGAGAGATAGACATCTACAATGTAGATGCAGTTAATATGGGTAAATTAACACCTATATTGTCATGGGGTAATTAGTAGTTGCTTAGAGAGATGCTCCCTTGCTTTCTAACATTAATATGGTGGGAGATAGACATCTACAATGTAGATGCAGTTAATATTGGTAAATTAACACCTATATTGTAATGAGGTAATTAGTAGTTGCTTAAAGAGGAGAGATGATCCCTTGCTTTCTAACATTAATATGGTGAGAGATAGACATCTACAATGTAGATGCAGTTAATATTGGTAAATTAACACCTATATTGTAATGAGGTAATTAGTAGTTGCTTAGAGAGATGATCCCTTGCTTTGTGTTGGCAGTTGTTGCAAAGAGATAAGCCCCTGCTTTGTAAGGGCTAACTATCAGTTGTTGTGGAAAGAAGACCCCGTTTCTGTGTTGGCAGTTGTCGTAAAGAGTTAAGCCCCTACTTCGTATGGGCTAACTGTCAGTTGTTGTGGGAAGATGGCCCCGTTTTTGTGTTGGCAGTTGTTGTAAAGAGTTGAGCCCCTGCTTTGTAAGGGCTAACTATCAGTTGTTGTGGGAAGATGACGCATTACATCTTAGTAGAAAAACACACAAGGTATATATCAAACAATTCACAAAGAACACCAGTATATTTTACTCCACACGTGGATCCAAGAGCCACAGTGCTATGGGAACATTTAATCTAAACTAAATGATGTCCGTATATGCAGGTTTCATTACTCCAGACACAGCTATCCTAAGCCACACTTGATGAAGTAAGTTCCAGTGGTGACGATATGCTACGTCCACATATGCGTAGGCTGCAACAAGTCAGTACAACACAAACCAGTTTCTTCCCTTCTCGCGTGTCACACTGGCGCCTCAAGAAACGAGAGATTGATTTGCGCGTGGCAAGATACCGTTTCGAGACCAGTCTGAGTTGGTGGTTTATTTTTTTAATAAAACATAGAAGGAAATATGTAATGTTTCAATACACTGATTACAGACCTGTTTATCGTATTGAAACTCATCTTCAGATAAATACCGCCTTAGTAGAAGTCTAAGCCCCACCAACATATTCCTAGACTTATATTTATACTCATCAAATGTTTCTGTTATTAAAGATACTAATGCCCCCTCCCCCAGTCTGTGGACTTAAAGCGCTAGAAACCGGGTTTCGATACCCGTGGTGGGCAGAGCACAGATAGTCCATTGTGTAACTTTGTGCTTAACTTCAAACGAACAAAAGATACTAATAAATATGGTTTAATAAACGATTTTTAGCGAACTTGTGGTAGAACTTATTGCCAGGTATGTGCCAATTATGTGTTTTGTTTGAGCACAAAGCTGCACAAAAGACTGTCTGCGCTGTACTTCATAGGGAATCGAACTCCAGATTTTAGCGTTGTAAATAAGTAAACCTATCGTTGAACCCCTGGTTAAATGGCCATATCACGTTTGACCAATCATGATACAATCTCAAAATTGCACACGAAAACATCATAAGGTATTTTCACACCGAGTATATTTTGCAGAACGTAATATAATATTTTGTAGTCTCACAATTCGTGCGTCAGGACCCATAATTGTATGTACTTCTAATGCAAAAGCTACAACAAACTAAATTTAATATTATATAAACTGTGTTTAAACAAAAATGTCACTAGATACTGGATTTCAATCTTATGACTGGTAGTTTAACAGAAGACCATGAGGTACTACTGTTGCTTACACCAGAACTCTAGTAGTTTAACAGAAGACCATGAGGTACTATTGTTAATAACACCAGAACCCTCATGGACTTCTGTTAAACTACCAGTGTTCTGGTGTTATTAACAATAGTGCCTCATGGTCTTCTGTTAAACTATTAGAGTTCTGGTGTTATTAACAATAGTACCTCATGGTCTTCTGTTAAACTACTAGAGTTCTGGTGTAAGCAACAGTAGTACCTCATGGTCTTCTGTTAAACTACTAGTGTTCTGGTGTTAGCAACAATAGTACCTCATGGGCTTCTGTTAAACTACTCGAGTTCTGGTGTTAGCAACAATAGTACCTCATGGTCTTCTGTTAAACTACCAGTGTTCTGGTGTTATTAACAATAGTGCCTCATGGTCTTCTGTTAAACTATTAGAGTTCTGGTGTTATTAACAATAGTACCTCATGGTCTTCTGTTAAACTACTAGAGTTCTGGTGTAAGCAACAGTAGTACCTCATGGTCTTCTGTTAAACTACCAGTGTTCTGGTGTTATTAACAATAGTGCCTCATGGTCTTCTGTTAAACTATTAGAGTTCTGGTGTTATTAACAATAGTACCTCATGGTCTTCTGTTAAACTACTAGAGTTCTGGTGTAAGCAACAGTAGTACCTCATGGTATTCTGTTAAACTACTAGTGTTCTGGTGTTAGCAACAGTAGTACCTCATGGTATTCTGTTAAACTACTAGAGTTCTGGTGTTAGCAACAATAGTACCTCACAGGCTTCTGTTAAACTACCAGTGTTCCGGTGTTAGCAACAACAGTACCTCATGGCCTTCTGTTAAACTTCTAATGTTTGTCTGTTTCAGTACTATCCAACAAAACATACAGTTCCCGCTTCAGTACTATCCAAAAAAAAACAAAAAAAAACGATCACTCTGCTTTAGTGTTGTGTAGCGTTACGTTTCCTGCTTTAGTGTTGTGTAGCGTTACGTTTCCTGCTTCAGTGTTATGTAGCGTTACGTTTCCTGCTTTAGTATTGTGTAGCGTTACGTTTCTTGCTTTAGCAGTGTACAAAGTCACATTTATTTCAACTGAAATGTGTTTGCTTCTTACAAAATAAATATATGTAGCATATTAGTTGTATTTCTCTACCTATATTTATTTTGAAAAAACAACGAAATCAAGGCCAGGAATAATCTCACTCAGTGCATGATATTGTTTCAAGTGACAAACGACAGATGGCGCCAGCTCATATATTGGAAACGTATCTGTGGTTGTCACAGTTGTACTAAACCTGTGATTGGCCACCTGTTCTGGATTTACTTAAGCTCCGCCTTATTTTCTATTTACCAATCACTAAGTGCGAAGGTTCTCACTTTGTATTGGCTACCAGCGCGATTCTGCGTACTGCTGCTTATTTATAACCGGCACTGTTCTTGTCGGTATCACATATTAGTATTGAGTGACGAGTCGGTAGTGGCGTTAAGAAGTTGCGCTAAAAACGATTATAACTATTTTTTTCTAACGGGGTTTAGCTAGTTTAAGTGGAACGCTTTTGGGAAGTTTTGTTATCATCACCATCATGAAGGCCACAACTGAGACTTCCAGTTGTAACAAAATTGGTAAATCATCAAGAAGAGAGCGTGAAGGAATTCACAACGAAATGCACCAACTTCTAGCGAAACTCACGGAGTTAGTCCCCAACATGCCGAGAAACAAGAGGCTTTCGAAACTCGAAATCATTCAAAATGTGATCGACTACATCGTAGATCTACAGATCGCTCTGGAAACTCACCCGGCTTCCAGGCCTACAAACACCGGCAACAGTCCGAACCGGCAGCCGCTCGGCGTTCTCTCTCCATCGGGTAATCCCTGTGCTGCCCACGAGGTACGTTTATAGCGCTCTAGAAGTTTACAAAGGTCGCGGGTATGTTGTCTATAGATTAAAAGTGCCAACCACATTTTATTGTAAGTTACATTCAGTTAACCCTTAAACAGCCGACTTGTTTCTGTACAGTTCACTATTATTGGTTGCATCATATTTAATAATTATGTTTTTTCCCTTCCACAACAGTCGATGTAAAGAACAAACCAAATGAAACTATAATATCTGTATAAAATACGTACGAGTAATTAAGTGTGATTAATAGTAGTAGCTAGTATTTGTATTTTATTAGGTGCAAGAAATAGTAATCCAACTTCGTTATTTCGAGGGTTAAGACACTGGGTATAATGTTTACACCGTTTGTTTCGAATGTCTTTGAATCCTCAACATAAACATTAGATTTCGCTTTACTCTTATTCAAACCTCTAAATCGTTCCTTAGCACACGTGTATAAGAACCTGATATCCCTTAAAACTTACAGTTTAACCTGCCTGCAGTTGTAACGTTTGTAACCACAGTGATATCAGTCAGTTGTTTAATCCTAAAACTTGTATGTTAAATACCAAACTTTTGCCAGTTTCATCTGCTTATAGTGGGAGTTGTACGATATCATACAAATGTATAACCTTAACGTTAAATGAATAATAAACTTCTGATCAGAGCAATCAATGTACTTACAAGTTAGTAAAACTAAACATCACCTCAGCAACTAATATAGCTGAGTACACTTTTAAACGTTTCTACTTATAAAGATTAGAATGCATTATTTCATCGGTTGGGAATCCTCGTTGTTAACAATAGTTTCGGCCGTAATCCCAATAGTATCTAACGAAGTTCAGCCAGTTTAGAAAATTTCGGTCAGTCATAAATACATATGTTAAGCTAACAACACAAAACAATCTCTATAATAAAAGTATAATAATAAGAATTTAAAACGTAATGACATTCGTTATACTAACTAGTATAACCACTGCTGTTAATGAAAGTAACAACAAATAAATAATGTAGTACATCTTACTTATAGAACATAGAAATACTAGCTCTTATCTTGAACACATGTTGTCATCTCCACCTGTTTATGGTTGTGTGATAATCAACCATAACTATATCATACAAATGTTTAACCCTAAAACTTGTATATTAAACCCCACACTTTGCCATCTCCACCTGCTCATGGTTGTTGTAAAGTTTGTGTGATAATCAACCACAACGATATCAGATACATGTTTTAATTTAATACTTGTATATTAAAAACCATACTTTGCCAGTTCCACCTGTTTATGGTTGTTGTAATGTTTGTGTGATAATCAACCATAACGATATCATACAAACGTTTAAGCCTAAAACTTGTGTGCAGACTTAAAGTGTATGAGTTTAAATCACGTATACGAGCACGTGAAACTGTAATTTGTCTACTTATGAAGATATATATTTTTAACGGAGCCAAGAGTTATAACTAATATTGTGCACTCTGGTTTATCGAGGACCTGAGAGACCTTAACACTAGGTGTCACCCCTGTGTTAATATTTGAAAGGCAAAGCAACGTATCATGTAGGTGTCATATTTATTCATTTTCTGATTTCAGGCGATTCACCCCGAAAAGGCACCAAGTCACCTCAGCGACCTTGTTGTTGGGCCGAAGAGGCCCGTTTCTTGTTAGACCCACTTTGATCGAGTTTGGCCTTGGTTTCACAGAAACTTATTACTAGTCCGAGAGAGTATTGCACGAGCTAAGGATGTGACGTTTTCACCTGTGATGATGACAAGACCTAACTATTTGTATGACGTCAAGTTACACAATACTGTATACTTATCAACAGGGTGCAGAGTCTTGGTGGTCCAGAAAGTTGAACAGGGAATATATATGTATATAAATAAAAGAAAACACACCTTTGTAAATCTTTTATTTTATCTGCTTACTTAATTTCTTTCAGGTTGAGATTCCTGTGTATTTGTTTTTCGGAGTGAAAGTGGTCACAAAAGTAATTTTATGAAGTGAAAGACAAGTGTGGAACTGTGATTATTTCATTCGTTTAAACTCTGTAAAATGTGTGAATATTGATTTGTGTACATTTTGTACGGTATACCGTCGCAGCACTTTTCGATCTTTGTACACGGGGTTGATTTGTACCTTGTGTTATTATCGAAATCCTTTACTTGTTTACCATGTACAATGTTTGTGATAAAAAGCGCTGGCAAACTGCCAAGTTTTTATGTATATACGTGTAGTTAGATCAAAGAAAGATTTAAGAAAATGAAGAAAATAAATATTTGAAACTTCCTTAGTTGCCTGTCGTGTGTTATACGTACATACCACTAACAGGAGTGCAACATCACACGTATAAGAGAGTGAAAACAATACGTATAACAGTATTTACTTTTAGTGTTAGCGGTTGTTGTTGGCGAAATTTGGGGACCGTTTTTAGGGATTAATTTTTCATGATGAAAGTGTGTTTTTCTTCCAGTAATGCGATACATGCTGCAGTTAAAAGCAAAATATTTTGTTTGTCAATCAAATAGTTTACACGGACTGATCTGTTACAATAAGTAATTCAGAGTTAGTTTAGAACAAACACTTTCATAAAGTAATCATTGTCAATGTATTTTCAGGAACTACAATAAAATCCAGTTAATTATTCCAATACCTTTATAATCACTGATTGGTGGTTACTTAAAATATTAATAACAATAAGTACGCGTAGTCTCTGATAACTCCCAGGGACACTTGAAATCTGATTTCAAGAACTTCAAAAGGTTTAGAGTTCGAGACATGAACTCTTCCCCACTCTGAGTTGCGGGCGCTATATAATAGATAATAAATTCCGTCATTCAAATTCGGTTCAAAGTCTTGTGGCGGCGGGTGCTGCTGACTGCCATATTTCTGGTCAGTAATTAAAAATTAGGAACGGCTATGCCTGAATCCTAGGGTTTTCTTACCTGACGGTTTAGTCCACGTGCTCATAAGATGTGGTTTAATTTAAAAATTCCAATACTGAGAAACTGTATGATGATAAAGTATTAAAAATGAAAATATTGTCCACTTATATTACTACAGATGGGATAGTTGTCCACTCACATTACTACAGATGGGATAGTGTCCACTTATATTACTACAGATGGGATAGTTATCCACTTATATTACTACAGATGGAATAGTTGTCCACTTATATTACTACAGATGGGATAGTTGTCCACTTATATTACTACAGATGGGATAGTTATCCACTTATATTACCACAGATGGGATAGTGTCCACTTATATTACTACAGATGGAATAGTTGTCCACTTATATTACTACAGATGGGATAGTGTCCACTTATATTACTACAGATGGAATAGTTGTCCACTTATATTACTACAGATGGAATAGTTGTCCACTTATATTACTACAGATGGGATAGTTGTCCACTTATATTACTACAGATGGGATAGTTGTTCACTTATATTACTACAGATGAGATAGTTGTCCACTTATATTACTACAGATGGGTTCACAGAAAGTGATATTTTCTCTGTGGAGAATAATTCAAATCGGTCAGATATTAAACTGTTAGTACTACTTAGGTGCTATACCATCCCAGGGGCACGTGGGAAGATACTTCTACATACATCGTCCGATCTCGTTGCACTAAAGACAATTTAATCAATAAGAACGATTAATGTGTGAACGAACTTTGGCTTGCGGAGAATGTAAAACTAAGCACACAATTTTATTAAACCGTAAGGTGTAAAGAGTTAATTTATCATGCACAGTTTTCAGTACTGTGAAGAATGCGAAAGTAACTTAGTCCAACTGCAGGTAGGAAGTAATTACTATAACAAACCCCCAGATTTTTCTACAAAACGGTGTACGAATTCCAGACTGTATGGTGGTAAAACATACATATATCTGTGTGTATAATACACCTTTGTACACAACAGCAGAACTGGTAACTAGGGATGTGTGGCCTAATCTACTGAGCAGACGTTTTGAAGTCTGACTTAAATACATTGAGCAGACCTTTCGAAAAAAAGTTCTGTTTTGTTGGGTTTTTTTTTTTTTCTCAGGAGTATGGGGTTTATTTCTAAATTGTTTTAGCGATAGTTACATTTAACATTCTCTTATTCAGACTAAGAATCGTAGAGATATGTTTCTGGTTTGTCTTGGCTGTTTAAGCTGCTTGTCAGTCTCTACTGTTTTGTCACATCGTCGTGTCCACACCATCAACAGATGTCAGAGAAACTGGGTGTGATGGGAACCCACACGGTGAACATTGATATAGTTTTTATCGAACACAGCTGTCGTTTTGTTCGAATTTCTCGACTTATAAGATCTAAGTAAGGGCCTGCCTTGACCTTTTTATACGGGAAACATCTCCAAGAATCATTAATAGTTCATTTTGAGAGTTATGAATACGACATAAAAACGAGACTCGCAGCAAGCCTAACAGCACTACAATTCTACGTACATTACAGAGAGTACGTTTCCTTGCCAGATGGTGGCAAAAGTGAATAACACGAATCTACCCGTGCGAGAGCGCGTCGCACGTGTGGGACTAGCCTTAGAAAAGCAGGTGTTCCCCGAGAACCGGCCAAGCAGCTCGCCGGTATGTGGAAGACAGTTAACCAGCGAGGGATACCTTTGGATGAAAGACCCTACATATAAAGGGAACAACGGTTACTTATTGTCGAGTCTCTAGATTATATAATTACCTACATTCTCATACTCAATCATTGTCTTCTGTTAGTTTACTATTTGAAATGAGGGACCAAATATGGAATCACAGATATATAAGTTATACAGTAAAGGAAAAGGGAACAAACTATGGATTCACGTACTTACAACCTGTACTTTAAAGATGAGTCCATTATTACAGGAAATATATGTGTTTACATTTTATCGATGATAGTCTGCTTTAATTGTACTAACAACACTATTCAGCCGGTGTTTGTAGTTTTAGTACAGTGGCAAATGATGTAAGTTTAGGTATATTTCCAGCCATCTATAACGGTCTTCTGAGAGCGCGTAATCTTCGGAAGTTATTAACACGTGAGTTGTGCTTGATGACGTCACAAACAATAACATTTTAAACACACGAATAACTTTGTTCGTGTGAACAAGTACCACTGTTAAACGACCTTTTGCCCATGCCGTAAATAAAAAGTATAAACCTCCCATATCGAAGAATAATTAAGTAGTTGTACATAATCAAATGAAATAATTCCTCAGTCTTATCGACGTGATTCAGTAATAAAACTTTCCCAACTGACCACATTTAGAAAGTTCACAAACTAACCAGATTAACAAAGTTTACCAACTGACCACACGGCCTGTCTGTTGCATATTATCTACCAGCATGTAAGACAACAGTCCAGATACTGTTGCATATTATCTACCAGCATGTAAGACAACAGTCCAGATACTGCTGCATATTATCTACCAGCATGTAAGACAAGAGTCCAGATATTGTTGCATATTATCTACCAGCATGTAATACAAGAGTCCAGATACTGTTGCATATTATCTACCAGCATGTAAGACAAGAGTCCAGATACTGTTGCATATTATCTACCAGCATGTAAGAGAAGAGTCCAGATACTGTTGCATATTATCTACCAGCATGTAAGACAAGAGTCCTGATACTATTGCATATTATCTACCAGCATGTAAGACAAGAGCCGAGATACTGTTAAAAAT